TAGCACAGAGCTCCTTGAAGCTATCATAATCACGTTTCCTATCGATTTTGTATGAGGATTTCGTTAGAAAGTTTTCATATGATCTTTTTTTCATTATTTCATTAGCAATGTAACAGAGTGGTCACTGAAAATATCATATTCAGTTAAGTTACAAATTGAACTATCGTAATTCGATGTAGATATTTCAGAAACCGTCTGATGTATTCGTTAATAAAGCCTAATTTATGATGCAATTTTTGTTGTTATGGTGTTCTTCGAACACTACATGGAGATAGATGTGATACATATACATTGAAACATATTCAAGTGTTTTGATATACAATTTCTATGTTTGCTACGCTGTGGTTTCATCAATTGAGTTGGGTTCAACATTGATAAATGTATCATTCATATCAATAGCTACCACCGTTGGTAAAAATTCATGCCACTATTTATCGAAGCTTTTCGTTACCGTGATTGTTCTTTTGAATGCAGAGAACCGTAATAAAAATAGATAATATGATCGATTCCCATGAAATATCTATTCGAATGGCAGTTTCTTTTGTTGTATTGATTAAGAGCAGAATACATAGTAAAGCACCTAATGTCGGTATCAGCCCCGTGCCAAATAGTACTCGAAAACCTAGCGAAAAATCTTAATGTGTATGACGCATTTGCAAAGTAGATACTTTGAAAAAGAATATATGTACAATATATTTTACTTAGTGCAATAACACCGATATGTGCAAAAATATATGTAACTGAAACACTAATCGATGCGCTTTTGTCAAGAATATCAATTGAGCATATATCAGATATGATAGCACAACATATTCCTAAGAATGAAAATAAAATATACCTTTTAAATAGTATTAAAAAAATGTACCGTGAATCGATATAGAAACCCATGGAGTTGTTGTTTGAGAATGAATTTTAGCAAATATTAGTGGTAATAAACCATCATGAGTCATAGCATAAAATATTCGTGTTTTTGATAATCGTAACATCGATGCCACAGTTGTAAGACTAGCGATAACACCCAAATCCATGATAATCAGTAACTAGAGACCGTAGAAAGTAGCTGTTCTATACAGCTTATAATGAATATCACAATAATCTGTATTAGATCAGTAGTGACTTACAGTGCTTGAGAAACAGGATTATTTGAATCTAATAATCTGTGATAATCAGATCTTCAGGATCTTTTTTTCACTCTATTGGTGGATGAGAAATCCAGCTGGTCACGTTGCTATAGGATAAAATATTAATCAAATGTGTAACATATTTTCTTCCACCAACTACTACCATGGACGCCCCTAACTGATACATTATTATCGTATTGCAAACAACAATCCAAGCGGGATAATCTTCAACAAACAATTAAAGTGCTGTTTTAGACAAGAAGTATTTATTAAGCATATCTTCCAAGGCTAAAGAACAAAAAGATGGCATTCATGAAACTCAAAAAATTAATACAATCACTAACTGTCCTGTATAAATATAGGTGTATGATGAACCAGAACTAGCCATCATAGCCGTCATCTCTGTCAGCGATATAACTGCAAAGAGAGCAACAATATCATCAATAATGAAAGAAATTATAACTGATGGGCTAGAATATTTTTGCAACAGTCTGTCCACTCAAAGAAAAAATACTAATTCCTAAACAGATGATCAGTATTTCTTACATCATATTTCTCTTATAAATTTCACTTTCCGATAGTACATCCGAGACTTAGAGCAGTTACTTGAATTAAATTTAATGTATGACGCATTTCGTTCTGTGTTTCAATTTCAATTTGTAATTGTATCATTCGTTTGCATACAATAGATTGTTGACTAAAACTTATAAAAGTAGAAAATTCGTCTCTACTAAAAGAAGTTTTTGATCGAACCAGCAAATTATTGTTTGCAGATTCACTAATTAACATGCTAAAGTTTTTATTGATTCGAATGTCTATTATCTTTGTAAGCTTATATAAAATAGTAATACATGTTATATACTATTTTAAGAGTATGAAATTGAATAAAAAAAACAGAAAGCAAGTAAATGCGATGAAAGTAACTCGATGTCATGCATATCATAGTTTTCAAGCATTTTAAATCATGCATACATACCATTATTAAAAAATAAAATTTGGAATACAATAATAATTGCTATTCGTTGAAAATCTCATTATTTTGCTTATTCAATTGTGTTTGCTTCTAGGTATAATGATATGTTTTACTTACTAATGTTCAGATTTTGTATAAGTGTCGCGTTGCTTTCTGTCTCTATGATCAACAGCATCAGTAAAGATTGGTATATACAAAGAGAAAAAGAGTCAGTGCAACGTATATTTTCATGTAATTTATAGATAAAAATCACAGACATTCTTTTTCCATGCCTAGAAGAGCATAAAAGTGGGATGGGGATTAAACAATAGTATAAACTATTGACTATTTACGTAATCTTAGATCAATGTAGAGAATCATTCAAAATATTGTAAATAAAGCATAAGAATATCAAGTTTTACATAGATCTTTAACATCTTCTTGCACTATTCTAATTTCAATCTTCAAAAATAATTATTAATATCATGAATTTCAACTGCAACAATATAATAATGATACAATCAGAACATTTATTTGTTTTACATTGTCATCGGTTAGTAGTGCATGATTTCAATAAAAACAAAATTAAAAAAAAATAATTTACGTAACTACCCTTTTTGAATAAAAGGATTCGAATGTTCACAAAAGAAAACAAAAATAAAATTATTCTAAACAGTTTTATTAACTATTTCTCAAATATTAAAATTCATTTTACTACTATCCTTTCATTTTTCATGCGATCATTGTCAAATTTCCATTGAACCATATTAAAATTACATTCATCATTACCATATTATCTTTTATTTCTTCACTTTCTAACTAAAAAAAAGCCTTTAACCAATATATGATAAAATCAAAGTATTTGTTATTTTATTTCAAGCAGTTATATATTAAAGTTGAATTTGAAATTGTCTTTTCTTAAACAAATACACAGTTGACTCTTCTTTTCAACTCGGTTATCTTCCGATCAAAACTTAACTCCGACTGAATCATGTCAGTATTCTAATTCATTTATCGATACAAAAAAAAAACATTTGGAACATTTTTTTAAAGTTTGTAATTGCTAATAGAGATCTTGGGACAGCTGAATGCAAGGTTAGGGAAACAATCCTATACATTTTGGTTGTAATTCATTATGTTCTCTTTATTGATATCAGTCAATGACGTAAGAGTAATGAAGTTGAATCAAACATTACAGTAAACGCATGAAATGATACACATTTCTCCGAGTTTAATGAAGAAAATGAATAAAAAAAATTGAAGATTCAATAAGGTAAAATATTTACTAAACTGTTGTACATATCAAAAAAGATACAAGAGAAAAAACAATATTATATGATTTGCACAAAAGAAAACGTTTTGATCATTCAAATTCAAAATATCAAAACGAAATTTCGACTTTCGCTCTCTTTCTTGAAATATATTTTCATCATGGTAAGGATAGATTAAGAAAATTTCTGAGCGATCAGTGTTTATTCTCTAATGACTTTTTATCTTATGAATCAATGTATACATGCTATATGTTAAAATTGATGCTATTTATTTTTTATCTGCTGTCTTGTCTCTTGATGACAAGAGTCGTCTAGTGTGAATGACGAAGACCCATGTAAAAGTCGATAAAAATTTAACGATGTTAACGATAAAAGATGTTACATTTTTGACCGTAAAAACGTGTTAAAAATTTGTTTTTTAACGAAATTTCATGAGTTATTTCATGTTAAACCGTTTCTAACGGGAAAACACACGTGGAGTTTTGTTAAAAGCAAATTTTTAACGCGTTTTCACGGTCAAAAATGTAAGATCTTTTTTTTTGTTAACATCGTTAAATTTTTATCGATTTTTACATGGAGATACATAAGTAATTTCATCAAAAATTCTAACGAGATTTTGCTCAACGACTTTTATCAATCATCGTTTCAAATTACAATATAACCAGCAAAATGAATAGATAACTTTGAAATAAAAGATTGTCTCTTTTCAATAGTTTGGTTCAATTTATGTATGATATTTTTTATTTATTATGTTTCTGATAAAAAAAATTGTTGTTGCTAACAGAATACCAAATTTAAAAAACTTTTACTTTTTGACTGTACAGTATTCCAAGCTCATACGTTCGCTTAATGCACAGTTTTCGTTTTGTATTCTTTCTAAAGATAGTATTTCCTGTAATAAAAATTTGAGATCGATTATTTCTCTGATAGAATAATTTCATCTAAAAACATTTAATAATTAAGGAATTTTAAGATTGAAGTTTCAACTACTTATTCTACTTTCAAACATATGATTTCATGTTTTGTTTTATTTTATTTTTATTAAAATAATGATGATAACCTAAATCAACTAATCGGATGGTAAGATCTTATGAGATTGTGCTACTGATCTTACAAACTCAGATGAAAATCGTAAAAAAGATCATCGTCCCTCAAATCTTACGCTAAACCGTTTAATAAGATTGTTGACAGATGTGTTGCTACTTTGTAACATATCATTACAAGATTATAGAATTACTTACGTGTCAATAAGATCTTTCAAGAATCTTATCATATGATAGAAGGTAAGATTTCAGAGACAATAATGTTTCGTGTGATTTTTATAAGACTTCATCTGATTTTTTTGATCTGGAAAGGTAAAAAGAACATTCTATTTTCAAAAAAGTTCTTTCAATTGATTATGTGCATTTAATGCAGCATTTTATTTCCCAAGCACATTTATGAAAAAAATGCTGTTCTATTCTGTAATTCTCATAAACAATATTCAGTTACACAGTAAAGATTGAATATTTGCAAACAGAATATTCCAGTAACTTATGTATATAGCCAATAATGAAGTATTTATTATTTTAAATCGAATTTACAAAAATTATACAATTTTTTTTGTTTAATACAAGTGTTGTACGTTGATACCTGCAAACATTTATGAAGAGAATTTTATGCTTCACTTTCAAAGTTGTTTTCGAAGACTAAATTCCCTTGAGATTCATTTTGTGCATATTGTCCCATAACAGTTTCTACTGTTGGTAGCAGCTCGACCGTACTTGAAACATATTTACTTTTCATCAATTTTCGTCGTTTAGAATGCCAAAATCCATAAGAAAAATAAATTATTTGACCCAATACTGTCCATGCTAGGAATCGGTAACCTGTTGGTTTTGTTATACCTTTCATAAGAAGTATACAAAGCAAGGAACCTATGATCGGAATTAGCCATTTACCGAATGGTACTTCAAATGTTCGTGGAATATCTCTATGAGTATAACGCATCTATAAAAGACATTTCAGATGACAGAATAGACAAATTAATTAATTGAACCTACAACTATGACCGTTATATGTGCGAAAATATATGTAATTAGGGCGCTAATAGAGGTTGATTCGCCAAGAATATCTACTGGACAAATACCAGAAAAAACAGCACAAAATGTACCTAAAAAGTGAATATAAGTTTTTTCTTTTAACTCGTATAAAAAAGATTGTTCACCGCTAATCAATATAGACACCCATGGAGTTGTCGTTTGAGAATGAATTTTAGCAAAGATCGGTGGTAGTAAACCATCATGAGCCATTGCATAAAATATTCGAGTCTGTGAGAGCATTACCGTCAATGCTACAGTTGCAAGGCTGGCAATGACACCCAAATTCATAAGAATTGATAACCAAAGACCATAAGGTGTTGCTTTTCTAAAAC